GGGGATGGTGTTTGCACAGGATGAAGAGGGTGTTTGCGCAATGAAGAGACCCTCGCCGCTTTTCGGCATGAAATTGGGGAGAGAGAAGAGATGGTTTTGGCTCTGTATGTTGCCAGGGAGTAAACGACTTTGTGTGTTGCAGGTAGCCGTTGTTATGTGGGTTGGGGTTGGGTTGGGTTGGGTTGGGTTGGATTAGGTTGGATGAGATGATTTTGAGGGAAAAAATATAATGGGGATAAAATTCAAAGTGATAGCTGTTTTATTTTATAGATATATAATAAAATTGGATAGAAGTTGAATTTTATCTCATTTACATTTTTTCCGCTCATCACACAATCTCTCAACGGTCATGCACAACCTCCAACACACACTTGCCTAACACACACACCACTCTATTAACCCCTTCCCCTATTTACGTTACCCCCTCCCCCATCTCTGTCTGTCACACAGAATACACACATGCCCTTTTTTTTTTCTCCCTCCATCTTTCCTATCTCTGTCCAATCACAATGCCTGCAGTCACTAGAGGCAACCCAGCGACCACCATTGATGACACCATAACCACCACCTAAGAATCGCCCAGATCCAGGTATCCACTCTCTGCCTCCCTCTTCGTCTCTCCCCCTCTCTCTACATTTCTTTCTCACTCTCTCTGCACACAGCACATCACACGCACACAACACACCCACATGCATAACACACTAAACGCATAAATTTTGGAGTTTGGTTTTTGTGGTTCCAATTTGGATTACACATATTGATGGTGTTTATGTTTTCTATTTATCTGCTTGGTTATGGGTTACAAAATGAATGTGCAAGATTGAGTAATGGGCAATTTTACTGATTGTATAGTATGGAGGATGGTAAAGTTTGGTGTTTTTGGGTGATGTTCTTGCTAAATTTGCCGATGAGTTTTCTTACAACGATGAATGAGTTTTATGGNAGTATGGAGGATGGTAAAGTTTGGTGTTTTTGGGTGATGTTCTTGCTAAATTTGCTGATGAGTTTTCTTACTACGATGAATGAGTTTTATGGGTAATTTTCATGGTTGAGTAGTTGTGTTGATTTTTCCTGGCATTGAGATTGTCTTCTACATTTTGAAAATCTTAAACTAGGGTTGATTTCTAGATGCATTTTGTATGTGTTTGATGAAGTGCCCAAATGGTTAACCTCCATTATAAATACTTTGCTTTTTTTTTCTTTGTTTCTACTACGTAAATTGCCTGTTTAAGGAAATGGGGATACAATATGTATCTTTAACATATATGCACTTTAGTTGATTGCACTAATTCACCTAAAGCAATTTTAGAGGGTTTTGCTGTTTTGGGTGGGGGAGCATTTGCCCAGCCCAATTTGGGTTTGGGCACCAAGTGCTTGATAAAATGCACAGAAACAATTATTTTAATGTAGTCAAGATTGCTCATCCTTTTTTTAGAATGGCCCAAAATATAATTCAAGTGTATATAATTTTAAATTGGGCAAAGCTAGGTTTTGTTCATTCACTTAGGTAGAGATTTATTTAGAAGTAGTTTATGTCATTTTGTTTGGTGATTAAAGTTGTATGTTATTGAAAAATTTTATGGGTTATTCCAATTTTTTTTAAAAACGGTGGTATCACAGAATCTTATGTTTTGTTTATCACTTTTACAAGTATTCATATAGTTGGTCGTGTAGGAAGAATGAATTTCTATTGTTTTAGAAGCATAAATTGTTGTACAAGCACTTATATTTTACTTAGTATTTTATTGATTGTCTATATAGGTTGATAATTTATTGTGATCCTATTTTTAGGGGAAATTTTGTCTAAATATTTTTAAAAGACCAAAATAAATTCTTTTAGATTAAATATTAACAATTTTTGTTTAGCATACATGGTACATTTAGGTTTTAATATTCCTTCTAACAATTTAAATGAAAACATTTTGATCCACTTCATTTCACCAAAGTCATGACATTAAAAATACAGTTTAGACCTTCAGTTGAATGCGTGTCTATATTCAGTGTTTGATTGTTTTGTGTTCAAGAACAATGTTCATTTTTTTTAATTGCACAGTGCCATTAGGGACGGGTTATGGGGACAGTTAGGCTTTTAGCTTAGTACACGTCCGAGTTCGCCACTTAATTATTTTGTGCTCAAATCCTCTCAATTTTTTTAGAGATATGTTTCAAAGTTTTTGGAAACTTTTGAAATTTGACAACTAAAATTAAGGAATTTTAATTATCTTATCTTAGGAAGTACTAAAATTAAAGAATTTTAATCACATATATACGTGTTAATATATATAATAAAGTAGAGCTGAATTTGAATCTCTAAACTTATTTTGAGCTTTTCGTGGCTTAGATCAATTTTGAGTAAAAGATAAGTTATATATCCAATGGTCTATGTCATCTCTAATTTTTTGCGATTCAGATCAACTCAAAAATATTGATTCGATGAATCAAATTGATAGACGAATTTTTTTTTCCCACTCAAAGATACTTTCCATTTTTAATTACCCCACATTAATGTTATTCCATTTACACATTCCATTTATATTCACGCTTTAATTCAGAGGCAAATCTTCCACCAAATCAAACATATTTTTTTTCCAAATTATGCCTAGCATAATTCATATCGCAAAATACTAGATTTAGATTGTGACAACCACATGGTGTGTAAAATGCTTTAGGATTTATCTTGGCAAGTCTTTTTTATACACCTTGATATTTTTCTTTCATATTAGATCCATTGTCAACATCAAGTTCAACATTACGTGCTACGTCTATAAGTTTCTCAAAAATGCCTTTTTCATTCGTATTGTCTACATTAATAAACTCTAAAAAATATTTTTCTATTTTTTATTGGACTAGTAGTAGTGTCTATGCATCATAATATAAGAGACATTTGTTCTTGATGACTTGCATCCAGAGTACAATCAAGTATGATTGATTAATATTTTATTTCTTTAATTTTTGAATAATATTATTTTTTACTTCATTTCTTAATAAAATTTTCAATTTATTTTGTAAATTATGTCCAATATAATGTTCAAAATTTTATCATGTTGAATACAACGAACGCGTTTCTGCATTTCCAGATCAAATTCTGCAATTATTTCAATTAAACTTAAACATTGCTAGTATTTTCTTGATATATCTTTTTATTTTTTCCTTGAAATGTTAAATTATTTTTACCAAGATTCTTTACAACCGCTATAATTCTTAATAATAAATTTTGTCAATATTCTTTTTCTCTGTTAATTTGTTCTCGGATAGTTTTATTAATTATTTTATTTTTTGACAATCGTGGTTCTAAATTAATCCAAGTATTCATACTAGTAATATGTTCACCAGTTATTTCATGATTTTAAACTCGACACCAGGATTTCTTCAATCTTGAGTTTCTTGATTGGCTACTTTTTTTTTTTTTGAGGAAAAGGGAGCTTAAACTCTTGATCTCAAGAAGACAAAACTTTCACAAGGTAAGGAGTATCATTGGACCAAAGACCCATTGGTTTGATTGGCTACTTCACTTGCACTATGATTCATATTAAACAACTTACAACAAAAACAATACACTCCATCCAAATCTTTTGAATACACTAGTCATCTTCTATCATTTGTCTCTCCATTTGTTAATTTTCGAATGGAAAAACTTGATTAAGATATATATGAAAACCGTTTATTAAATATTATGATAATTAACAGAAGTTTTATATAGAATTTATATATTCTGATAGTTATAGATGAAAAGTTTAATATACGAATAAATTATTGGTTTATTAAGTCAAAATCAGATCACAAAATTTCTTTAACAACAATAATGCATAATACAAGGAGGCTAAATAATGCCAACAAAGTTCAATAACACGAATCTTAATATATAGTAACATTCATGTTACTATATGATTGAAGTTACAATTAAGATCGTATTACCAATACAATTGTGTTCCTATACTGACACTAATATTTCTATAGTGAATTTTAGCATACAATTACAAATCTTGAAACCTATATTATGTAACATACACTTTAATATTCACAGTAATATCAAAACTTTGTGCTCAGTAACACATCTAATTTTACAAAATACAAGACAATAGTTTTTTTTACAGTAACATCAACTTTCGAATGATTTTAGTGAAAATACGATCTACAAATTGAAAATTTACAAAATGACGAGTAGTAGTAACACACAATCGACAATTGAATTATGACACTTAACACCAATCGTGAAAATCAAGACATCGAAATTCTAAACTCAATTTTTTGGTTCACGTACAGTAATATCAATTTTTTCCACAGTAACACAACAAAGGAATATTCGATTGTCTTGTGCAACAAACAAATCAATAAAATCGAAATTTATAACAATTTAATTTAGTACTAATGTATGAGTTCTCTTGAATCTTGGTTACAAGGTTAATGTCCACTTTGACAGAATTAAATTCTTAATTTTTATTACTTTTTTACCATTTACTATTTTTTTGTGAATTTTGTGCCCTCTTAATTAATGATTAATGGGACGTGAACTTGAAATGAAAAAGAATAATACAAGTTAGACACAATTTATTGATCTAATTTGTTGTCATAATTATTTATAACGATTGGATTGATTGTGGACCCCAATATTTGTTACGACCCATAACCAGTCCGATTATTACGATGAATTAGGTTAACAAATTATATCAGCAACTTGTGTTCAAATAACATCATTGAATGAAAAAGGATAGTAGAAATGGAAATGAATAACTTTGGCCATAAGAAAGTAAAATTCCTGGTCTGCTGATGTTTTTTATATACTCAGCAGATAACTATTTAACGTAGAATGAATTTGACACTATCAAATGTTGTAATTCACAATATTTGACATAAAAAACTATATATTGAAATTTGAATTCACTTAATTAAGATAACACATAGCTTTTATTCTTGTTCAGACACATTCTTACATCATGGATAGACATTAACTAGGGAATATGATGTTAGGCCCTGTTGCACGACCACAACCCCTTTGGCTTTTACGTTTTTGGACAGTTTATGTAGCTTGTTGCGGTGGAATCCAAACAAATGTAAAGTTCTTTTAACAGAACATGAGTGTTGTCCAAGGACGCACATGAAACATATATATCTGTTCCAATTGAGTTTCTCATTGCAGTGTCAAATTGGTTCTTGGTGTAAGCAATATGAGAGCCAGCAACAATATGGACACTTTGTAGGATGCTCAACAAACTAATTCGTCCCGTTTCCCTTATAACGGCTTGGAAATAGTCCGATTTGTTCATTCTCCTCAGTGAACAAATGCCATGTTTATTCCATTCGTGTTGCCAAAGTCGATCATCTGGCAAATCCTTGCGGATGCTTGGCCATGCTTGTTGTAGTTGAGACCTTAATGTCCTTGCCTATACATTTGAATACACGTTCCAAAAAAGTGGAAAAGAAAATTTAACAAAGACAGAGAAAAATTAGAAGAAGAGCAAACAGACTACCGTGGGATCAATTGAACCCATTGAATTTTCAGGAAAAAATAATTTGGGTCCTTTTGGCACATTAGCCTCTTAAGCAGCGAATTTAGCTTGTAACAAGCTTGCAAATTTTATTTTTTTTTGACTTTCTCTGCTATGACCTTGCCACCTAGGTCTCCCATTATCCCCTCAGTTATCTAACGTATACATAATATAAAATAAATAAATATGATATATGCATATATTAAAGAATATATAGCCAAATAACATATATTTCAACACACACATTTAACTTTTCATCCATTTTTCCTCCCAAATTTTAAGAGGGATTGATTTTGATGAGTTTGAAAGAAAACTAATCAATCCATTTTTTCATTATTTTTATTTTCTTTCGTTACCAAACATAATGTTTTATCTATCCCTCAAAATTTTCATCTTTTTAATTTTCTATTCTTTTATTTTTCATCGTACCAAATAAAATAGAAGTGTATGGTGGAGAATGCAATTCGGTTAGAGTGAGAGTAAGGACTAACCCCTATATTTAAAATCTTTCATACATGTCTTAAAAAGATTGAAGAAAAAAATTTGGGTTTCCCTTTTAGATAGTTTTCACTTGTTTATTTTCTCATCATTTTCCCCCTATTTAACCAGCAAAATTTTAATTTCTTCCAATTTCCCTATGTATTTTTATTCTAGACAAATAGGCACAAGAAAAATTTTTCTGTGGACAGAATTTCTTTTTTAACCCCTTGTAATTTACTTTTTTGGCACATAACCCAACATTTGGACTAAATTACACCGCTACCTCTAACAGAAATAGAAAAATAACCTTAATACACCATTTTCCATTTTTTTTTCTTTTCCTTTCCTTTCTAGTATTTGCACGTCTATCATTGGTTTCTCACTAATCAAATGGAGCTTATGGGCTTAGAAATCACCTTTCTTAAACCAGCGATCACACTTAGTCCTTTGTCAACTTAGGTTCACATTGCAGAAATAATAAAATGGACACTTCAGAAGTCGTTACACGAAATTATACTTAATTGTCAAAAAATACATAAGAAAAAATATTTTTGTAAAAAAGTTCATTTAAGACATAGAAAGACTTAATGCCCTTTTATTGTAAATAAATTTTCTAAAAACGATTTTGAAAACTAACCTCACATTTAAATATTTCCACATTATCTGATGTGTTTGTTTTCCACGCCTCTTCATCTTCTATATATATATATATATATATATATAGAGAGAGAGAGAGAGAGAGAGGAGTTCTAATAAAACAAAAAACTAAAATTTAAGAAAATCAAAACCCATAATAAATCATCACCATGTTTTTACAGATATGTTTCAAAATTTTTTGAAACTTTTGAAATTTGACAACTAAAATTAAAGAATTTTAATTATCTTATCTTAGGAAGTACTAAAATTAAAGAATTTTGATCATATATATACGTGTTAATATATATAATAAAGTAGAGCTGAACTTTTGAAATTTGACAATTAAAATTAAGGAATTTTAATTATCTTATATTAGAAAGTACTAAAATTTAAGAATTTTGATCACATATATACATGTTAATATATATAAGAAAGTAGAGCTGAATTTGAATCCTTAAATTTTTCTTGAACTTTTCGTGACTCAGATCAATTTTGAGCAAAAGATAAGTTATCTCTAATTTTTTGCGACTCAGATCAACTCAAAAATATTGATTCGATAGATCAGATTGATAGATGAATTTTGTTTTTACGCTCAAAGACACTTTCCATTTTTAATTACCCCAAATTAATGTTATTCCATTTATATTCATGCTTTAGTTTAGAGGCAAACCTTCCACCAAATCAAACACATTTTTTCCAAATTATGCCTAACTTAATTCATATCGCAAAATACTAGATTTAGATTATCACAACCACATGGTGTGTAAAATGCTTTAGGATTTATCTCGACAAGTCTTTTTTATACACCTTGATATTTTTTTTCATATTAGATCCATTATCATATCATTGTCCTCGTATATCGTTAATATTAAGTTCAAGATTACGTGCTACGTCTATAAGTTTATCAAAAATGGCTTTTTCAATCGTATCGTCTACTTTAATAAACTCCAAAAAATATTTTTCTATTTTTTATCGGACTAGTAGTAGTGTCTACACATCCTAATATGAGAGACATTTGTTCTTGATGACTTGCATCCGGAGTACAATAAAGTATCATTGATTAATATTTTACGTCTTTAATTTTTTTAAAATATTATTTTTTACTTCATTTCTTAATAAAATTTTTAGTTCATTTTGTATATTATGTCCAAGATAATGATCAGAATTTTATCATGTTGAATACAATGAACGTGCTTTTGCATTTCCGAATCAAATTCTGCAATCATTTCAATTAAACTTAAAAATTATCAGTATTTTCTTGATATATCTTTTTATTTTTTCCTTGAAAGGTTAAATTATTTTTATCAAGAGTCTTTACAACTGCCATAATTCTTAATAATACATTTTGCAAATATTCTTTCTTTCTATTAATTTGTTCTTGGATAGTTTTGTTAATTGTTTTATTTTTTGATAATATTATTTCTAAATTAATCAAAGTATTCATACTAGTAATATGTTCATTAGTTATTTCATGATTTTTAAACTTGACACTAAGATTTCTTCAATCTTCAATTCCATCATTGGCTACTTCCCTTGCACTATGATTCATATTAAACAACTTACAACAAAAACAATAAACTCTATCCAAATCTTTTGAATACACTAGTCATCTTCTATCATTTGTCTCTCCATTTGTTAATTTTCAAATATAGTGTTTATTGAAAAATTTTCTAAAGAGAGCATCTTAGAGAAAATTTATATTCCTATCCCTAATTGATCCCTTTTCTACTAATAAATCTCTTAATTTTGTATCAATATTTTTTCATTGACAAAGATCATAAATATTTATAGGACTCTATAATCACTGGTTTAGTCAAGATTTTGATTGTCTTTTCGTTATTTTCTATTTTATTATCTTTTATTTCAACAATTTATATTTTCTTATCTTCTATTTCATCATTTTCTATTTAATTTTTGTATCCCGATAGTTGTATTCTTATTCTAGATGTCATATTATAATTATTACAATGTTATCAATGAATCAAATAAGTACAAATAATCAAACAAACAAACACAATCAAACAATCTATATTTAAAACATATAATACAATCTTCAAAAAAGAGTTATAGAACAATAGATGATGTTATTCACAAAATAGCCTTAGAACTTTAAATTTTGACTTTGTTTATTCACTTTGTTGTTATCACGAAAGACCCAAATTTGTTGGCTTGTTACCTGAATGTGTGTTGGCCACACAGAGACAGAAAGTCATACAGAATAGAGAAGAAGATGGGCGATCACTGTCCACTGATGAAGGCCTTGTTAGAGAGAGAGAGAGAGAGAGAAGTAACGTTACATATTTTTTGTTTTAACACAGAGAGGGGGGGGGGGGGTAAAGTGGTGTAAGTGAAAAAACGTGTAAAAAAAGGTGTCAGGAAAATGAATTAATTTTTTTTTTTTTAACTTTTGATTTTGGGTCTTTGAATGTATTGGGTTTGATTATGGACTTGATGTAAAAACTTAAATATTTTGGGGTGCAAAATAAAATTCTCTTATTAAAAATTAGACTAAAATTATCTCGCTTAATGGTTAATCTCAATAAAAGTGATAAATTGAAATAAATTATTTAATTTAGGGAATCAATTCGAATAATTAAAAATTTAAGAGAATTTAAAATAGCAATCGTAGTTTAGGGGGTGTTTATGAGATTTGCCCAGTAATTTACAAGGAGAATTACATCTAAATTTCTTAAAATTTGTTACTTAATCACTTAAATTCCTGACATTTAAAATATTGCACATAAAACCTTGAGATAGTTAATGTTCGGCCATAGTATAGCCATTAAAAAATTATATTTAAACCCCTTAAAGTTTATAAATATGTAATATGTAGACCTTCAAATTTAAAATATAGCTTAAACTCTTTATTAGTTATATATCTAACGAAATATACTAAATGACTAAATTACTCCAATTAAAGAGCGAAGATATTTTGTCCATTAGGATTTAACTTTTTGTTTAATTTTTTTTGTTTTAGTTCAATAGATAATATAATTGTATACTAATTATAATTTTTTAAAGAAAAAATTAGATTTTTATTTTTAATTTTATTTCAATAAATAATAAAATAGAACATAAGTATTGGTTAAAAAATTTAAAATATTTGAAATTCTATCCTTAAATAAAATATTTTTATTTAAGTATAATATCTTAAATTTGAAGAGTTTAAATATTACGAACATTGGCAGCAAGGTCTGAGTTTTATGCACATATAAATTTTAGGGAATTTATATATAATATTTTAAATATTAAGGAGTTTAAATGATTAAGTGATAAACTTTAAAAATCTGGTGTAATTTTCCCTAATTTATAGTGCAGTAGAGAAAATTTTAGGGACGAATGTTAAATGAGGACGAATGGCTCAGAAGGGAGCCCGAACAGTCGGCAACCAGTATTTTTCAATCCTCAAGTTCCCCGAGAGAGATCTCTCTGAAATATCATCAGTAGCTGTAAATTAATTATATNGATAAAAATGGAAAAATACTGATTGAAGTGAGGAAAATGTGGCATATTCATCTAAATTGTCATTAGAGAAACATAGAAAGATGAAGAAATCAGGGATTGTAAGTACAATTTGAGGTTTTGGCATATAACCTTCCCAAATAAATAGGGCTTCCGAGGAAAATTCTTGACAGAAATGCAGATGCAGCAGGCTGCAGAGGGTTATAGAGGGCAACCAAAGCAGGTCCGAGGATCTTATTGGACCATGTCAACATTCCATAGTTGAGGGCAGATGCAACAATTCCCTGAGACAACAATCAAGAGAGCAGGTTAACTGCATAAGCTGACATGCATAAAGTTAATCGCACATATGCTTCTCGCAGTAAAACATCGATATAAATGAGGATATATAAAAGGTAATACACGCATTTATACACACAAATGATCTTCAGTTAAAGATTATAATTTTCACAGGATAAATGTCAAACAATGTGAAATACACAGAGAACATGTTCTAAGTAGCCACGTCATCTGAAAGAGCATCATAAGAGGACTTCCATTTTGCTTTAAATAGAATATATTGAACACAGACTAAACGCATGCAACCAAAGTCCACATGACATATAGAAGAGAAGACTAAAAAATGATGATTAATTGGGTGTCTACAAAGTCCACAAAAAGGATATGGAAGTAGAAGAAGTCAAAACAACAAAGCACACTCGACAAGTCAGCAACTCCACACCGCTAAAAGATAAAATGGTTTCTCTGCTTCTAGATGCACTTACTCCCTGCATTATGTGATGAACCGTATGAATAGAATAGTAGGAGATCCTTTTGAGGGGAAAGGAATTTGGGTTCCTAAGATGAAAATTCTTTGTTGTCTAGTATGACTTGATGAGAGTTTTCCAAGGATACACATAGCTGGGGGATGTTGCGCTCCCCTTGAATACATTGAGTACATGGTATAAAGAACCTCGCTATCATCAGGGCAAGCTTTCACCACTGCTGTAGGCAAGGACCCCCACATGATCAATAAGTTTGCAATTTATTCCATGCACACAGGCTTTTAATAAGTAATTTGAGCTGAAATATACATGACTACAACCATACAGAAGGAAATCAAGGCCCAATATAATACTAGAGGAGCAGATAACACTTTTACAAGAACTAATTGCATAATCCTGTTTCATTGTAGCTCTTAGCATAAGAGATCCACCCAACCCAACAAAAAGAAAGAAAGAAAGAGTGTTTCATCTCTCCGTATTCAATCCGCAAAACCTTAAAATCCATTCACTTCCACAAGCTTGCCTCTATTTTTGATACAGAATTAGACCTACTGGGCTCATGCCCTTTCAATCTGCTTGCGTTACAAGTAATTTTATTATTTGATAGTTCCATACTGTGATTTCGTGCAAGTGACAATGTTCTTTAGGATGATTTGGCTAGTTAGTCAGTCACCATTCACCAATATCATTGATTGTGTCGTTTGTAAATAAAGGAGATTCTTCTTATACCAATACACTGAGGTCACTGGTTGGTGGAGTGGTAAATTGTTGGGCTATCAACCAAGTCCTGAGTTCAAACCTGAGTGCGACCATTCGTGCAAATAATGACCAAGGTTTGATGTAAAAATACTCTCAGTCAGATGTGAAACATGTCCCAATTCAAACAGCATATTATCTATGAAACACGGATACTTCGTCAAGGTCAACATACCCATAATAGATACGATACTTATTGNTTGTTCATCATCATAATCCCAACACTGATAAATATGCTCTTTCGTTGTTCCCTGATGAAACACTTGTGAGCATGCCGTCTATACAAGAAGATATTGACCATTCACATATTCCTATGGTTATGGAAATTGTGATTGGTTCTATAGACGGCTTAATTTTCCTGCACGATGGCCCTGACGATCGCATGGTTCTGTGGAACGTTGCTACTAGAGAGTTCAGGCTCCTCCCTGTGCCCTACTCCATTTTTCCACCATATTTCTCTTCCTTTTGGCATGTATTTGGATTTGGGTTGGACATCTTGAATAACGATTACAAGTTTATTTTGATTCGCTCATTTTGGGATGAGCAAATGGATAACCATTACCCTTTCTATGTTGTTGCACTATATACCCTAGGTAATGATTCATGGAGATATCTCGATCAAGGACGGATTTATTGGTGGGCTGAAGCCCAGGGTAAAAAAAAAAAAAAATTTTACCGTTAAGTACCAGTCCAACCCTCTCCCAAAAAAAAATTCCATCCAACCCAACCCAACTCAACCCAGCCCACTGCAAAGCTTCTCCAATCGGTCTTTCTCAGTCACTTCTCCCATGTCTTGTCTTTTCTCTCTCAGTCTCAGGCGAGTCACTTCCCCGAATCTCCAGAGAAGCAACGGCTCCATGGCAGGCGGTGAGTCACTCTGTGCAAACACCCTAGTTTGCGGGCTTCTTGAATCACACACAGGTTTGTTTTTTTTTTTTTTTCTAGTTGACGGACCACGGTGCTTCAGATTTCTCTGCAACTGCAACAGCTACAGATTTATTGTTTGTGGGCTTCTTGAATCACACACAAGTATTGATTTTCTCTGTTTTAGATTTCTTGTTTTCCGTATCCATTGTTTGTGATGTGCCGAACAAAGCTTTGTCACTAAATGGGATTACCGATTATGGTTGCGGATATGCTTTGTCACTTAGTTCTTTTTGAACAAATCCCCTGTTCAATCCGCAGAGCCACATCAAAAAGAACAAATCCCACTTAGTGCTAATCAGGGGATTTGTTCAATAAGCTGTTTTTTCTTCAATAAGTTTTGTTCTTTTTGATGTGGCTCCGCCCTTGTTTGTTATCAGAGCTCTGAAGAAGTTGTGTCTAAGAGGATTAGACTCTCACTCGAGTTCAATCTACAGGTTTTGAACTTATATGTTCAGTTTTGGTTCTTCTAATAATTGGATTTTCATTCTTGTGCAGTCTTCTATATGTGATTTATGGGTTTTTATTGTTGCATTGTGAGCGAGTCTTTGATTCTTGATATTGATTACACTTGGTTCTTTTTCTTTTTGATGTGGTAGAATCAGGGAGTTAAAGATTTTATTTTTGATGCCCACCTAAAATAAAGTTATATGAAGGGTAATAAACTGTAAATTTTTAAAAACCTGAAAGAGGTCGAAGTATATTTAGTCCTGGACTACCTGTAGACAAGTACCAATCATATTATTCTTCATTTCTTGAAATAAAGATGCTTTATTATTCAATTTTTCTGAAATGACAAAAAAATTAAGGTGATTATATCATAAGTGTGAAATATGTACTTAATTGACCATCATAAGATATTGTCCCACAGCAATAGGCAGTGTTGGGCCTCTGGTTACTCTCTTGTATCCTCAGTTTAGCTATAAAACCCACTTAGTGCTAAAGATTGTTCATTTGATTGAATTTATGATTTTTAGTTGGTTTGTTCAAGACACAACATGCTCAGGTCAGGGGAAGTGATGAAACTAGCTATATGCTCAGTAAAGAAACCTGTCAGTCTCATAAGCATAAGCAACATTCACCTCTAATTGACTTTTCAATTGCTGGGAGAACGGTAAAAAGCTAACTCAAGAAATATTCATTGTTCATTGGTTTGTGTTCATATGTATGTTTAATAGGTATATTTCTCCATTGTTTGTGTTCATATGTATGTTTAATTTTTTGCTTTCTCTATCCAATGATTGTGTAACACAAAAATAGATTTTTGGGACAGAGGAACATAAAATTAGATTTGGTAATGAAATGTGTGAGGCCTAGAAATATCTATATGTCTCTTGTAGATTTTTGGGGCTAGGTGATCCTTGTTGATTTGTTTCTCTAGTATACGTCTTTAATTTTCAACCCTTCTCTACTTTATTAGGATAGAAAATCAAGAATGAAAAAGAGCAAAAACAATTTTTTCGTTCTTCAAAAAGAAAAGTGGAGAATCAACATCAAATTCTAGTCTTGAACCTTTGAGTCTAGTAGAAACATCAAGTGTTGATGTTCCTATGATTCCTATGGCTGTTGAACCTCAAGGTCTTCAACCTCAAACAAAAATTCAAAGAATTCCTTTTGATGAGAATAAACTTGAACGAGATTCCGCATTGCGTATTCTGATATGGAAACATCCTGCTTATAATCAAGACGACGTTAGACGTGTTTATATAAAGTGGGGACCAAATCAACCTATCTTGACTAAGTATCCGAAGACTAAAACTGGAGTTTAAAATCGAAGATTTCAGGAAAGTTGGTACAAAAAATTTCCATGGCTAGAGTATTCTATTTCAAAAGATGCGGCATTTTGTTTTCCATGCTTTGTTTTTCAAGGTTGTGAACCTCTACATCCTGCATTTATCGTTGATGGTTTTAGTAGTTGGAAGAGAGTGAATAATGGGGCCAAATGTGTTTTCTTGTCACATATGGGAGGTCCTGCTTCCACATACAATAATGTTGTGAGAAATGTTAAGGCGTTGAAGAATATATCAGTGCACATTGATAAAGTTATGAATGTTCAAAGTTCATAAGAAATAAAGAGAAATCGATTGCGTCTTAAGGCTACCATTGATAGTGTTCGATAACTTACTTTACAGGGATGTGCCTTGAGAGGTCGTGATGAATCTGTAATGTCAAAGAACTGTGGTAATCTAATTGAGATGATTTGTTTGATGGCAAAGTTGAATGTTGAGATAAATGATGTTTTCTTAGAGAAAGCTCCAAGAAATGCAAAATATACGTCTCTTATGATCCAAAAAGATATTTTGCATATTCTAGCTACTAAAGTAAGAGAAAAAATCCGTGAAGAAGTTGGAAATGCCAAGTTTTTTATTTTGGTTGATGAAGCAAATGATGCATCAAATAAAGAACAGATGACAATTGTTATGAGATTTGTTGATGTTAAGGGTTTTTTACGGGAGAGATTTTTTGAGATTGTGCATGTTAAAGATACCACTTCTTTAACTCTTAAGAAGAAATATCAAAAGTTCTTACTCGTCACAATTTGCACATTCGAGATTTATAAGGTCAGGGATATGATGGTGCTAGCAACATGCGTGGTGCATTTAATGGATTACAAGCTTTGTTTTGCAATGATTGTGAGTATGCATACTATGTTCATTGCTTTGCTCATCGTTTACAACTTGCATTAGTTGCAACTGCTGAAGATGTGATTTCAATATGGCAATTCTTTTCCAAATTGACATGCATTGTCAATCTTGTTAGTGTTTCTCCTAAGCGTCATACAGAACTGCAATCTGCCCAAACTACTGAGATTGAATGAGGGATAGCTTGTGGTGAACGAGAGACTGGTAAAGGGGCTAATCAGATGGGTACTTTGCATCGAGCTGGTATTACTCGTTGGAGCTCACATTTTGAATCCATTTGCGGTATGATAGATACGTGTGATGCTATCATTAGTGTGTTTGAATGTATGATTAACGAAGGATCTTCAAATATAATTTGTGGGGAAGCTGGTGGTTCTTTAATGGCAATGAAGTCCTTCGATTTCATATTCACATTGCATCTTATGCACAAGATTATGGGGATTACGGATATGCTTTGTCGGGCATTGCAGCATAAATCATTAGATATTTTGAACGCAATAAATTTAGTCTCATCGACAAAATCATTGCTTCAAACCTTGCGAGCAGAAGGTTTTGATTATCTCCTTGGCCATGTGAAATCAGTTTGCATGAAATTTGATGTCGATATACCAGATATGAGCACTCAGTACAAAGGGGCAAGACATTCATGTCAACAAAATGGTAACATTACAGTTGATCATCACTATCACATGGACTTATTTAATGCTACGATTGATCATCAGTTAGAAGAGTTATATAGTAGATTCAATGAAGAGACAATGAAATTGCTTATGCTCAGCTCTACTTTAGATCCTCGGGACAACTTTAAATCTTTCAATCTTGATCACATTTGTTTACTTGCTCAGAAATTTTATGCAACTGATTTTGATAGACAAGACATGCATCATTTGAAATGTCAACTGGATCATTATCAATTTGATGTGGTTCGCCATGAGAGGTTTCAAAATATGTCTACAATTTTAAAATTATGTCGTGGTTTAGTAGAAACAAATAAGGTAGAATCCTACAATTTGATTGATAGGTTGATTCGTCTTATTTTAACTCTTCTCGTTTCTACAGCAACTTCAAAAAGAACATTTTCAGCCATGAAACATGTCAAAAGTACTCTTCGTAACAAGATGGAAGATGAGTATTTGACTGATTCGTTAGTTGTCTACATTGAAAGAGAAATAACGGAAACAATCGATACAGATTCCATAATAGATGCCTTTTGTTCTAGGAAGGATCGAAGAGTTTAATTTCATTAGTAAGTGTTTATGAGTTTACATTTGTATTATTAAATATATGTTTATGAGTTTACATTTGTATTTTGTTGGTTGTATAAATGCTTAGCTTAGCCCGGGATAAACAAATATCCTGGCTCCGCCCTTGATCTCGATCCTCTTAATCTTCCTAACTGTAGCATACACAATTCTTTGTGTGCCACATATGTGAATGGAGCTTATTTTTGGTTGTCATCTGACAATTCTGATAATCATAGTGTCCTTTAATTTGACATGAGCTCGGAGGTTTTTTAGAGAGATACCAGGGCCTGATCACCCTAAACAAACTTGGGGGAGCCTCACAGTTTTCAATGAATCCCTTGCTCTGTTTATTTGTCAGACGGGTGTGCATTTACAGTCTCTCATATGGGTGATGGAGGAGGAAGGGTGTTGGACCAAGCTCTTCACTTTTCAACCCTTTCCAAAAGTCAAGCGGCCGCTTGGGTTTTGGAAGAACCAGGATCTTTTGTGTGAAAGTAACACTTCACTGCTGGTATTGTACAAGCATGACACCAATGAACCTACAAACCTTGGAATTCATGGAGGTGACACAGTTGGTGGTCTTTCGGTTTTTAGTTACAAGGAGAGCTTAGTTTCAGTGAAGGGACCAAATGAAGACTAAAGTAGAGCTGAAGTGTGTTTTTAGCTGCATCAATGGTTAAAATGGGGTAAAATTGTAAGTTAAATTTTAAATTGGAGGGTAACAAATAATTTTTATATGATCACTCGTGTGCATTTTATTTGTATTTATGTTATCTGATTGGTAAACTCTCTCTTTAAGCATTTGAGCATTTGACTTTTTTATTCCTTCTTCTTGTTGTATGTGGTTTATGGTTTATGATTTGTTGTTGCTGGCTCTGTTAAGATTTCTCTTGGGAGAATTATATTCAGACCCCCTGAGATTTGTCACTTAATCATTCAAATTCCTTTACATTTGAAATATTATACACAGACTCCCTAAAATTTATAAGCACGTAACAATTAAGCCTCTGTCGTCAATGTCCGTTAGTATATCTATTAGTAAATTACATCCTGACCCCTTGAAATTTGAATATTGTACTTAGACAAAAAATACTTCAATCAAAGATATCAATAAATGATATAATAGAAGATGAATTTTTGTTGTAAAATTTAAAATATTTAATATTCTATATTTTATTGAGTTATTTTTTGTCGAAGTATAATATTTTAAACTTGAGAGGTCTAAGTATTATACGTTTATAAACTATAGGAGGTCTGAGTGTAAATTACTAATGAATATATTAACGAGCATTAGTGGCAGTAAGTCTATGTGTAATATTTTAAATGTTAGGGAATCTGAGTGATTAAGTGATAAACTAAAGGGATCTTGTTGTAATTCTCCCATTTCGTTTTAGAACTTTTATCGCTCACCTCATCAATTATATTGATTGGTTTCATATTCTCCCTTTAGTTATGCTTTTTGGTTTCACACTGCCTCAATAATTCATAATGTTTTATTCCAAATCTAACACCTAGGATAAATTACTCTTGGACCCCTTAACAATAGTTCTGATCTCACTTTGCCCTCAATTATCGAAATGTTGGTTATGTTTTTGATAGAGAATGGCTAGTTGAGTAGCCCAATGCTTTGAATTGGGGCAATGAGTAACAAATAACTTTAGTTGGAGGTGAAATGTAAGAAACATAATAATTGAGGGGCAATGTAAAACAATAATCATAGTTTTTTTTTTTGAATCAATAATAATCATAGTTGAATTTGATGGATAATATGAAAAACATATAATTAAAAATACAGAATGAGACAAGGGCATAGTTGAGGAAGTCAAATTATAATTTACCTTTTATCAGAACATGGGACAATGTGAAACAAAGCAGCATTGGTGAAAGCATAACGTGAAAATATTGATATTAGAAATAGAGTGGTATGAGTGATATGCTACGGTTTGAGGATATAAAGTGTGAATTTTGTGCGTTAATCGTGGTCGAAAGTTTAAATAAGTCGGTTGTGGCAATCAACCAATTCAGTTGCATCTTATCCTCTAACTTATAAGCTAAATTAAGGAGGACACGATCAGTTCATCAGTAATAGTAGCAGCAGTAGCGTTAGTAAAAGCTCATTTCGAAAGAGATATATGTGAGAGTGGTTCCAATTGCACATAAAAGAAAAAACAGTTTTTGCGTCTGACAGAATAAACTATTTGCCAATGAAAATACTATTTGTCTCGACGAGCGGTCTATTTGAGTCAGTAATTGGATGAAACAAAAAATGGCAATGCAAAAAGTATTTGCCAAAGCAAAAAAATATTGGTGTTGGAAAATTTGTCAACGCAAAAAAGTTAAAGCAAATCGTAGGTATGCCTTATTTGCNTTAGTATATCTATTAGTAAATTACATCCTGACCCCTTGAAATTTGAATATTGTACTTAGACAAAAAATACTTCAATCAAAGATATCAATAAATGATATAATAGAAGATGAATTTTTGTTGTAAAATTTAAAATATTTAATATTCTATATTTTATTGAGTTATTTTTTGTCGAAGTATAATATTTTAAACTTGAGAGGTCTAAGTATTATACGTTTATAAACTATAGGAGGTCTGAGTGTAAATTACTAATGAATATATTAACGAGCATTAGTGGCAGTAAGTCTATGTGTAATATTTTAAATGTTAGGGAATCTGAGTGATTAAGTGATAAACTAAAGGGATCTTGTTGTAATTCTCCCATTTCGTTTTAGAACTTTTATCGCTCACCTCATCAATTATATTGATTGGTTTCATATTCTCCCTTTAGTTATGCTTTTTGGTTTCACACTGCCTCAATAATTCATAATGTTTTATTCCAAATCTAACACCTAGGATAAATTACTCTTGGACCCCTTAACAATAGTTCTGATCTCACTTTGCCCTCAATTATCGAAATGTTGGTTATGTTTTTGATAGAGAATGGCTAGTTGAGTAGCCCAATGCTTTGAATTGGGGCAATGAGTAACAAATAACTTTAGTTGGAGGTGAAATGTAAGAAACATAATAATTGAGGGGCAATGTAAAACAATAATCATAGTTTTTTTTTTTGAATCAATAATAATCATAGTTGAATTTGATGGATAATATGAAAAACATATAATTAAAAATACAGAATGAGACAAGGGCATAGTTGAGGAAGTCAAATTATAATTTACCTTTTATCAGAACATGGGACAATGTGAAACAAAGCAGCATTGGTGAAAGCATAACGTGAAAATATTGATATTAGAAATAGAGTGGTATGAGTGATATGCTACGGTTTGAGGATATAAAGTGTGAATTTTGTGCGTTAATCGTGGTCGAAAGTTTAAATAAGTCGGTTGTGGCAATCAACCAATTCAGTTGCATCTTATCCTCTAACTTATAAGCTAAATTAAGGAGGACACGATCAGTTCATCAGTAATAGTAGCAGCAGTAGCGTTAGTAAAAGCTCATTTCGAAAGAGATATATGTGAGAGTGGTTCCAATTGCACATAAAAGAAAAAACAGTTTTTGCGTCTGACAGAATAAACTATTTGCCAATGAAAATACTATTTGTCTCGACGAGCGGTCTATTTGAGTCAGTAATTGGATGAAACAAAAAATGGCAATGCAAAAAGTATTTGCCAAAGCAAAAAAATATTGGTGTTGGAAAATTTGTCAACGCAAAAAAGTTAAAGCAAATCGTAGGTATGCCTTATTTGCTTCGGCAAAAATGCCGACACAAATAGCCATTTTTAATTTAATTTTTTTTTTTTTTGCTTTAAAATTTAACAACAGGGTGAGGGCTATTTTCACCCCTTAAATCTCATTTCTCACCCCAGTTAATTCTCTTACTTTAAACTACTAAGTTCACCAATTTGTATAGATATGGTAGAGGAGCGCATTTTATTCTTATTTGTCTATAAATTTTCAATTCTTATCTTCAAAGCGAGGTAGAGCAGTTTGGTAGCTCGCAAGACTCATAACCTTGAGACCACGAAGGTAAGCATCCAAATTAGCATCAGTCGAACTAATATATCCAGTTTATCTCGCAACATATCTAGTTTATCCTGAAGCAACATTTCTCGAAGTAGCATTCCCATAAGGAGAGAATGAAACTCTTTCTTATTTATCCCGACGAGGGTTTATGAATCACTCAAATAGGCCTTTCTAGCCGGTCAAGTATAGTTGATGGTTGAAGACAAGAACCTCCAGAAGCAGACGACAGCATGCGTGTATGATGACATCATCGAGATCAAGGACTGTGAAAACTTTTGGAAGAAACAAATAAGTCAAGAGGAAATAACTGCTAGATACACTGTTCGGACGCTTGCTTAGTTCTGTTCTGATACGAATGTGTTTGAAATGGAGGACTTGGCCTATGGCTTGGGAGAAAGAACCAAGTTTTTGAAAATTAACTTCATGGATCGATTCAGAACATCTGTTCCTCGATAGTATTTATCGAGACTTTCAAAATTAGAAGAAATAAGGAATCACTCGATTTCATCGATGATAGAATATATATTTCTATAGATTAGATATCATGCAAATCTTTTTTATACTAATAGAACCATCACCGCCTTATTATTTGATAGTTCGTTCATCTCGTCCTTTAGGACATCATCTCACTCCATTGGAAAAGAAGAGTCAGGGTATAGACAAAGAATGACTAATAATTTTTCTGGTGAATCCACTAACTGAAAAAGGGATTACTTGTTGAATAATCTTTACAGCTTTTAACAAAAAGCCGGGGATTCCAAATCTGATACACAAGTCCCCCATTAATACATTAGTTACTAAATCCACTCAATATATATTTATTAATTAAAAATTAAATTCATTCAATTTTATTTCAACCTATATATAAGGGCAATGCTCAAAATTTTATTTTGCTGTATTATTTTGGTACGAAAATATTTCAGAAGCAGAATAAAAATTAATAATTATTTTTAAAATATTAGTAAAAATATATCAAAATATCTTAAAAACACCTCAAAATATTTTAAAAACATTGGTGAAAATATATAAAAATATCTCAAAATACCTTGAAAAAATATAAATCACCTCAAAACATTGAAAATTTTACTTGAATTACTATTTTTGTTTGGATTTCTTTGACATATATTTAATAGTTTAATTGAATGACTATAAATAGAGTGAACTCAATAACTAATGAAGTAAATATAAATTAGGTGAACTTAGTAGTTTGAAATAAGAGGATTAATTGGGGCAATAAAAGAGATTTAAAAGGTGAGAATAGCCCCACCTTAACCAACACAAATAACCTTTTTTGGCTTTGGCATTTTGTGATGCAAATACTCTTTTTTCTTAAAAATAAATAAATTTTATTTACAATAATGTTTTCCCCTGGCAAGCATATATAGCTGATAAACTATACATATTAAACTGACTAGAGAAAAATAATTTGCAAGACAAAGTCATTCCCACCAAAAACTAGCTTTTTTTATTAAAAAAAAAGGGGGAAAAGAAAATCAAGCCAAACTTGTCAACAAGCAAGTTGACTAGAGTCAATGGTATGGGTATGGGATGTGTAAACAAACAAATAGGTCTAGACACTTGTAAAGAGCAATAACACTGTTTTTTGATCAGCAAAGGCTAAAGAACAGTCCACTCATATACCTGATCTGCAA